AAATTGCTATAATCCCATAAAAGAAGCAACTTGGCCATTTTTCCAAAAGAACAATTGTATTCTGTGGGCCATATGAAGAAACATTTGAATATATCTTAAGCAATTTGCTAGAACCTAGAAAAAGTTATTTTTTTTAAAGGACAATATCGTGTCTATGTTATGTTTATGTGCTTGGTATTGCTCCAACTTTGTACAAAACTTTCCAAGAGCAGACTTGCCTTTTTCCATACAGCTGCCTTTTCATTTTCTTTCTCTGAATAGACTCATAGTGTTCGGAGAAAATACCAAGAATAATAAATCCCAATCTCTGTATAAAATATACCTTCATGACACACTCAAGCTGGAAATCATAGGAGCCAATAAAAATGCAGGCAGCCTACTGATAATGAGGTCAGAAATACAAATAAATTTACTTTTAATGAAGACTGGAGGCACAGTAATCAAAGTGTTAAAATTCATTTCATGCATATCTCATTTGCTTCTTAGCTGATATTTACCACGTAATTCTGTGAGAAAGTAGAGGCCTAAGATGCTCCAGATAAATGGCTCAATTAATTGTACAGAGGTAGACCTCTTTGAGCTGAGCCAGAGCTGTGAGCTCTTTATTAAAAGCACTATTCTGTAGCCCCTAACCTTGTTCCTTGACTCCTCTCTGGTTTCCAATTTAAACAAGTCCCCATGCGGCCGGCTCTAAAGGGCTTTGTCTCCCTGTCATTGTTAAGAGAGCTGAGGCATCCTGGAAGTGTGAAATCAGACCTCATGAGTTGAACGGTTCCCCAGGGAACGCTGGACGGCGCAGAAGGTCAAAGTCATGGGCCGGACCATCTAAAAGTGTCTGATCGCCGGTCTGTGACACAGCAAGTTGGGGGTGGGGGCTGGACTGAAGAGGACTGAAATTGAACACATCTTAATTAAAGCCCACAGACAGCAAAACAAAATGTTTTCTAGGCAGCCTGTCAAATGGGGCTTAAATTTAGCTCTGCTAATGAATCTGAGCTGCTAACTGTTATTTCTTAAGATAATAAGACTCTCACGGAAGCTGATAAAAAAAAAAAACTGTAGCATGTCTTTTTCTGCTGTTTTGTTACTTAAATATTTTCCAACAATGAAGACAATTTTCCAAAAGGAAAACATGGGAAAAGTCTATGCAAATAGAGGTAGTAAACATCTCTCTTAATAACTACTAGGTTTCCAGACTCTGGGGCTTGTGTGTTGCAAATCTTCACGCATAGCCTTGTTTTAGAGAAAAAAAAAATGCTTCCTTTAATGGGATGATTTCAGTGACAGATTCTATTAATTGTAAAATTCTCTTTCTCTCTCTCTTCCCTTTCCTCTTCCTCTCCCTCTATTGTTTCCTGAAAGGGATGGTGCATTAATTTGTGAGATCAATTCACCTGGGGCAGAACAGCTGTATTAGTGTACCTTTTAATACAGTGAAAAGGTGGGGCATCTTTTGAAGGGTTTCACCGTTCTCCCATATCACTGTTCCTGAAACTGACTGGTTGGTCTCTCTGGGGAGTCTACAACCTCTTCCTCAGGAGCAGAAAAAAAAAAAAAAAAAAAACCAGGGGAAAATGAAAGGGGAGGGGCTGAGGAGAAGAACTCTTTTTCTCTTTCTTCTCTTAGAACTTGAAAGAACCAACAAGCCAGTTCTAAATACTCTGCAAAGAAAGCCTCACTCAGTATAGAAGATTTGAAATGTTCTGTTGAAAGCAGAAATTAGGCCCTGCTCAAGGAAAAAAGAATAATTAGAAGCTAGGAAAGACAAATTACAACATGAACCATTTCCCACAACCACCAAAGGGGGAAAAAAATCCTCCATTGGTCTTTTGCTTCTTGCAATCTGTCCAGTTTCAGGAACATGTGATTTAGAGTTTGAGACAATCTTCCCTAGTGAACACAGGGCCAGACGGTCTCCAGATTTGCTTTGATGGTGCAGAGAGACATTAACCTTTTCACTGGTTAGTTGAAAGGTAAGTAAGTTGTACTGAGTGGTTTTTCTCAGTTACTCCAACTTTTTCCCTTGCAAAGAATTTAGTGGACCAACTTTTCAAATCACTTTCTCAGGCTGTGAAAAGCTACCCACAATTTGACTGAAATTTCAATCCACTCTGGTGCCTTGCTCAATGCATGTGTATGTGTGGGAGTTGTAAATTGAGGCCTCAACCACCAGAGTTAATCTCTTTTTTTGAATCTGTATTAACCTTAATGATTTGAAGTGCACTGTCCAACACTGGGCTATTGAGATGGAAGAAAAAACTACCCTCGACTATCAACAGTTTATTAGGGGCTTAACTGAAGTGACCCACTGTAGTAGTGTTCAGCTGAACAAGGCTATAGGCTTTTTGTGGAAAGGGAAAGAATTGAGGGTTTCATTAAAAAGTAATTTGTGCTTTATACTCACTCATTCAAAGAGAGTCTCAATTGCTCTTTATTCACACAGAGTTAATACAGTATCACAATGTATCTCAATGAATGTGTTATAACAAAAGAAAAATTTTACATTTTGAAAGGGAAAAATTCTTTGTAACCGCAGTAAGATTGATGACTACTTAAAAGATTACAGAATTTTTCTCTCTTGTGCTCATGTTAATGGTGAAATATTAAAATTTAAAAAATTTTGCTTAACCGATGGAAGTTTTTTTTGTTGATATCATTAAAAGTATTTAAAAAATTGACCAAAGTTGGTCATATGTAAGTTTGCCTTGTTAGATTGTCTAGAAAAAAGTATTCAGAAGCCAAATATCTTATAATAACACATATATTTGCAACAGATCAGAAAATATTCTTGGCTTAGCACAGATAATTATCAGTGATATAAAAATCTCCCCTCTCCATCCACAGCATTGCTAAAGTGATGATTATCTGAAGACAACATGATTTATTTAATTCTTTCTCTGCATACTATTGCTTAAGATTATGTAGACACTATTATTTTCCAATGAGATGTTCATTATATGAGTATGAAATGAGTAAGAGATGAAGTATATAAAGAGCTTATTTGTGGCCCAAATAAACTGGAAAAGAACAGAAAGCATCAGGATATACTTATAAGTATTTATCATTTTCAGAAGCAAAGATTATTTTAAAAATTGGTAGTATATTTAGACATTTCTGGCTTAAGGACATGGTCCTCAATTTTTGTCACCATCATAAATGTCATAAAGACCACAAAAGGTCCAAGAGTGAACAAGGTCAAAGACTGCATTATCCTCCTGTCCCTGAATAGTTCAACATCTCTCTAGCTCAATTCAGAGCCCATTAGATTATAAGGTCAGCATGGAATGAGGAATCATTAGATTTACATCCCTAAAACTGGAGGAAAAAAATTGAGACTCTGTTCCTTAGTATTCCCCAAATTAGTGCTCATCTTATCAAATCAAAATTATGTTTCATTGAATCCCTAGGGCAAAGGCTATTGTTATTCACATCAACTTACACAGAACCATTATGAAAGAAATCTCTCTATTTTTTTTCCAGCTTTGGAAGAACTTGTACTTTAACTTCCTTAGTGGCATGCTGGCCAACTAGGTTAATGTAGTTTGCATATTCATGAAGTTTTAAAATCAATGACATCTCCTTTCTAAGAGAAGACAAAATTAAAGAATTATACTCAGCCTGAAAATGGGCAGGTAGTTTAAGCTTTTGAAGTAATGGTACTTAATTTCTCTAAAAGAAATTATTGTGCCCAGATTAATTTGACTATAACGTACCAGAAATAAAATTCATTAAAAAGGAAATGAATAAATCTAACATTCACTAGTTATTTAGTGCAAGGAGCTAAGTCAGCAACCTATACAAAGAGATTACAAACTGTTTTCAGGTATATCTATTTTGACAGTTGTTATCTTCTTGGTTACCATAAATTGATAATAACCTCTGTAAAGAAACTATAAATTCATAACATTTTAATTTTTATCTCACATAGTCATTTGATGATACACAAATATTGAAATTTTAAAATATTGCCATTTTGGGGCAAACATCTGCTATTTTCTCTTGAAAGCAGTTATCTTTTAATTTGGTTTTGATTTAGCTGAATGAATAAAAAAGGGCACAGTGATCTACAGACTCTTGGATGGTATGAAAATTATATTTCTTTCTTTCACATAAGTCTGTTACTTCATTAGGGTCATCTTGTTGAACATTTACAATACTAAGTACATCTCCACAAATAATAAGTGAATATTTTCCAAACAGTGAAATTTGCACGAAACAGGTCAAATTGGTTCTACTTATTATCCATCTTGAGCAATGATTTAATGAATGGTATGAACATCCCCAAATCTTTATGAAATTGAATAACAAATGAATGGTCACAGTTGCAACTTAAACCAATGATTTAATTCTGGAAATTAATGAAATAATAATAACCATCAGCCCATTTGTTAATATTGATATGTCATAGAAACAGCAATACCAAAATCAGGAAACTTTAAAAGACAAGACAAATTTTGGTATTTTTACAAGATTGTTCTGGGTTACAATACCTCAAATAATCTAGATGCTCTAAAATGTGCTAAAGAATTTGTACAACTTTGGAATTAGAGCAGTAACTCAAACATGAGGAGTTCATAATTATTGAGCATTATGCATCTAAGCTTTTCAGTGAACTATGCAACAGATTTCATGCAGATTTGAATTACAAGCAGTCATGCTATGAGGGAAGCTAGTACTATCTGATAAAAGGTGTTTCAGCATTGCATCAATATGCCAAAATGACAATGCTTGGAGAAATTATTCCTATTACATTGTTTAAACATTAGGGAGGGTAGCAATTGAAAAGTTATTTTGCTTTTCATTGCTTATTTTTAATATATTACCCTTGCCTTTCAAAAAACAGAGCTGGTACAAAAATCTGGGGACTGGAAAATCTTTGTAAGTTCAACTTTGAATATTTGTATTTAAATTATTTCCTCCAATGATCCACTCAGGTGCAATGCAGAGTTGGATTATTCTTTGACTTTGCATGCTGCTAGGAGAATTGCATCATTTCTTACCTGTGACATCAGCGGCCATCAGGCCTTCTGCTCTGATGACTTTCACCTGGAGAAATCCCACATCTTTTAGGTTGTGAAATATCCTCAGTGGCTCTGAAAGATCCCAACATGGGTATTAGGAAAGAAAGCTCCTAAGGAGTCTCAAAGAGTGTGCTGAGAAAACGTTAAGATTTTATGGTTTATTTCAGGATGCTGCTGAAGAGGTCAAAGGGATTACTTGTTTTTTCTCCAGTACAGACTTCTGCCATTATGAATGTTACACACACATGCACACACGCATGCACCCATGCACACATAGGTAAGTTTGCCTTGTTAGACTTGTCTAGAAAAAAAGCTATAATAATAACTTTAATTGTACTAGGCCAGAAAATATTCTTGGTTTAGCACAGAAAATTATCAATGATTTAAAACCTAAGAATTAAAAAATATCACATTTACTTCCTATAAATATCAGATGATGGTGAAAGATAAAGTATAGAGCAGACAAGTCTATTTACTTCTTTCTGTGTATTTTATCAAAGCACTACAAGAAAGTTTCATCTGTAGATATGATGGTTTGGAGACTAATGATTCCTAATATTGACTCTGAAGTCATTGGTTGTATAACACTCTTCAGATGTGGGGTGTGGGGAGAAAGTCAACAATGAACTAAACAATTACTTTTTTCTAATTTTTTTTCTTGGTGAGTTTTGCAAATTACAATGTGCTATATGAGGGATAAATGATCTAAAGACTATTTGCTAACAACTAATTCAAAATACATAATTTTATAAACCCTTTAGGGAAAATACAATCTTTACAAATAAATCAATCTGATAAGTAAAACTAAATTCAAAAACAGGGAGTAATTTTTCTTAATTTATAGTTTATTTGTTATTTTAGTGTGGGCAGAACTATGGAGACTTTGATAGAAGAACCAAATGATAAAAAGTTATTTCATTTCATAAATTAATAATTGTGTTTTAATAAGTGTAGTACTTGAAGAATTAAAAGAGGGAAATCAATATGACAATTAAGAAGTCTAATTAATGGACAAAAGTACCTTGAGAGTAAAATGAAACTCTAGAACACTGATATGCATTTGTTTAGTTATACTTTATGGTATTTTTCTTATGGTGATGCCATTACTTTCACTCAGCATATCAAAGTCACCTTTTTTTGTCATCATCTTTAAAATATTTCTTGACCAGAAAGCTTTTGAATAGTAAACATTATCTATTAAAATATTACTGGAGTAAAAGCATCCCTATCATTGTATTACTAGTGTAAGAACACTGACAAGCCAAAGCTTCCTGTGATACGAACTTTATCAGTCCCGTAAGACTAGCCATTGTTTACACTGAAGCTATGACCTTGGTACAGCGAGAGGAGGAAATACAGATATACGTGTACAGATGTATGTGTAATCTCATAGCCTAACTTTTTAAAAAGGGTGTTTAGCACAAGGATTAACTCCTAATCATTTATTGTCTTTAAACAGTCAATTATCACAAAAAATCTGTAAAATATCCAGATGACAGGGTTTAGTAAAAAGGCAGTCTCTCTTCATTGAAATTCCTGTACATTGAAAGTTTAACATTGAGGGCTTTAGACAACAGTATTATAATTCTGAGGTTTGTAGCCATGTTGTGTTTCTACAGTACTGATGAAGTTTGGGCAGTGTTTTATCCCAGAGCTTACCCAATGTAATAAACCAGATAAGTTCTCTAGCCTAATGATGGGAGTAATTTTATCAAAAGGTTCCAGCACTTTAATTTTTCAGGAGCAATTTAAACCAAGTTTCATTGTGACTAAAACAAGTATCAGTTAGAGAATCATCTCATTCTGGGAAGCTCATTTCACAGACACACTGTCTTCTGGGCATCAGCTCTGAAGCTCTGCTCCTCATTTGGAGGGGTAATTATTGTTTGAAATTTAATTTCTGCAAGTCAGCTGACACTCAGTAATTTATCGAAAATTTCAACTGTTTAGGCCTGTGACATGTAGAGTATAATAGGAACTCAAAGAAAAACCAAGTAAGTATATCAGTTTAAAATGTAATTGACATAATGGTTCATCAAGAGATACTCCTGCCTTGTTATTTATGGTTATTTCAGGTGGCCTCAAAACCTGGATGGCTTCTGAAGCCAGAAATTTCCATAGCAGAGGAATCTATGATTTGCTATGAATCCTTTCAGCCCTCAATAGATGGGAAAAGATTGAAATGCTCTGGAGAGGAGTCCTCTTTATTTTTTTAATGAAAGGCTGTATAATATATTTTCTCTATGGCTGCAGCAGCTGTCAAGGAGAGCATCTCAGTTCAGCTCTATTACGGGAGAGGCAATACCCCATCCTATGGCATCAAGATGCTCTGAGGGGCCAGAGCTGATTGACAGCTTGTCACCATGACGTCTTATTCCATCTCTGTTATGGAGAAAATTAATGTCACACCACCAGCCTTATGACTCGCTGTCATCTTAGAACCGCTCACCTTTTATCAATGCTCTAAATAACATTTCAAGCCCATCGTCTCACGGTGGACAATCCGGTCAAGGGACATTAAATCAGATGACTGTGAAATGTCATAATAAAAATGGAATGCTAACAACTTCTTCTCTAAACTAGCTCCTCTGGTTTTTAAACTGTGACAAGGGGGAGCAAGGGTTCAGCATACCCGTTCTGAAAAGGTCATACAATCGCTCTTGGTCTACTACCCATTACTACCCGCCCCTGCTGACCTTCCCTCATGCCCTCCCCCCAAAAGAAGAAAAAAAGAAAAAATAGAATTAGCCATCTTTTCAGAATGTAGTGTTCAAATAATGGGTCACACAGAAATATCTGTTTAATTTGTGGAGCTTCGGTACTTAGCAAGAAACAGCTTAAGCAACAGCCATGAAGAGACTTTTCAGAGCTGTTTCGTATCAGAGTAGGGCAATTCATTTACTTTCCTGACCATGTCCAGAGCCAAATCTAATTCTTAAGTTTAACCTCAACTTTAAAAAATACACATGTTTGTACAGGAAAACATATCGATAACTCTCTGAACAAGTGGCCTCCTTTATATATTTCTTCAAAACAAGAGCTATTTCAGACATGATACAGAATTCATTCATTTCATAATATGTATAATAAAAAAGAAACACACTGAAGCCCTAAAATATAGCTCTTTGTTCTTGTATTGCTATGAGTAATTATAACACGTGTTATTCTGCATATTGTAACTTCTTAGCAAGTACATCTGTAGAGGGAGGTATAGGCCTGTGCCTGAAATTCAGGGCTACAAAAAAATATATTTAAACATGGTTCACCTTTTAAAATACTGAGCATAATATAATGTGAGAATTAGCTGGAACATCTCAAAATATCTTACATTTTATAGAAATAACTAACATTTGGAGGAAGGTGGGAAGCAAAGCATTCAAATTCTGAATGGCAATGGCTGACTTAAGGAAATCCACCCAGCAAGAAAATGAGAAAAAAAAAATCAATGATAGGTGGATTACTTCTAATTACCTGGGCAGCAGTATCATCTTCATATACAGCATAATATCAAAATAGTAATCCATTACTAGCATATTATAATAGCCAGACACATTTTTATGCTAATATGGCAATCAATTCCTTTATAATAGTTCTAATTCATGGGGCTCATCTCTAGTAACTGGAGAGTATTTTTTGGTGGGCTACCAAAATGTGAAATAATTTTTTATAATTGCAATTATATATTGGAAGATACCACGCAGTCCCTTAGGTTCTTAGGTGGCTTAAAAATATATGCTATTTAGCCTTGCTAAGTCACCTCTATTAAACTGTTGATGATAACGCCATTGGTGAATGAGTTGCACAAGTATTAGCAGACGGCTGATTCAGTGGAGATAGCCAGAATAAATTTGCTGAAGCACACATCCTGTTAATCTGTTTGAAGAATATTGTAGAGCATTAGTACTAGCACTTCATGTTATCTGCACAGCCTGATAAGGTACATCTTTATTAAATTCAGTTATTGAAAGGATGTCAGTCAGCAAATAGGAATATTTTTTAAAAAGCTGTTCTTTGTTAGTCAGAGCTTGGTTTCATGACTGAGTGTCTAGAGGAGCCTTCTAAACACCTGGCAGCATTGTACAATACAAGCTTTGTGATTTTAAGTGGAAAAGCTTTTTTCCTCAGCTTCAAGGGTACCCAGGCATTCACTTTTCCAAGTCGCCCTTTGAGAGAGAATGGTGGAGTAAGAGCTCCCCGCTCTGTTGATGATGGGAAAAGCACTGTGAGAGGATGCTGGGAAATAGGGAAATTTGGCTGTCAATATTGGGGTTTGGTGAAAATTGAGAAGGTAGTTGTTTTAGTGACTATCCCACCCTCTCACCCCACATTCAGCAGAAGGAAGGAGGGAGGGTTCCTTTTAATTGCATTTTATATTCAATTTGTAAAAATGAAAGGAATGAAGTAAGGCTTTCCTGAGCAGTTGAAAATAAAAATCACTTCTGTGAATGCTCTCTTGTTTACCTACATGCCAATTAATGTAAGTGCCATTAACCCTATTTCAAACTCGGAAAGGCAAAGAAATCTTAATTGCAACTACACAGAGTCATGAATTAATTTTAAGGTAATGTTATGTAAACTTTACTTTTCTTTATGGGAAGTTTTGCTGTATGAGAAAAATCACTAAGCAGAATCTCAGAATCCAGAGCTTGCTCTGGAATTGATTCTGGAGAAGACCAAGTACCTAGACACCAGTGGTTAACACAAGTGCTCTTGCAAAGGCTGTGTGGTGTGTGCTTGTGACCAGAAGCTTCTCTTCTGTTGTCTTCTGTCAGACACCTCAGACACCTCAGAAGTACATCTGTCACTCTGGGTACATTGTTTACAACATCATCTAGTCACACCATTCAGGAAGGAGGAGTGTTGCATACGTACATATCGCTTTAGTATCTCCTCCCGCTCTTTCTGGTCCTCCAGAGAGTTGACAGAGAGGTCAGAGATACTGACTGTGGCTGAGGCTGTCAGAGTGACAAGCAGCACCAGGTGTCCCTCACCCTCTTCCAGCTGCAACTCCAGCTTATGCGTCTGTTCCCTACTGAGGGAGGACAGGTCCACCTGGCACCTAGAAACAAATGTTTTAAATCAGCAAGTGGCTTTTTTGCTACATCAACCAAAAGTGAAGGCTGCCTAGAGATATGTGAAAAATAAACCAATAGAAACACTATTTGAGCCACTGAAAGAATATATCTCTCATGCTAGCTGACTTTCTTCACAACATTTACCTGATTATCTTAGGGTCTGTAATTGCTTGTTTCCTGTAAGACACAAAAAAGGTACTTATCTGAAGTTTGATGATTAAGAACTGTCACTGTAGCCAAGAACTGGTGGGATTTCCCTTCTCTAGGTGGCCTAAGGAGCTCGGTGAGAGGGGCTTTGCTTTCAGAAAGGCTATGTGAACTGTCTAGAGGGGCAAACTATCAAGAGTCTGAGTTCTTGTGTCCCTTTTAAAACCAGGGGTGTTTCCCCTCATTTATAAGTGTTATGAAATAGTGAATAAGATATGTACTATGGTGATGCCATAAATTTCACATTTAAAAAGCCATGTCAATTTACTCACAGTACACTCTATATGTCTAAATTAAAGTGCACCAACCCCCTGGAGACACCATAGCCCAGTGTTATGTCCTCACAGAGTTTCATAACATGCCAATCCGTGCTCTGTTTGCCTCTCTCCCAGCTAAACACCTTGCAAACTCTTTTCATGAGCTTGTCAATTGATTTTGAAGAGACAGATAATGTGGTGACCATAAGGCTAATAACTTGAGAGAAAGGTGGCAGGCATGAATAAATGACATTTAAAACAGGAAATAGCCAATTACAAGAAAAAATGTGTTTAATATATCATAAATAGGGTGGCTGGCTGCCAAGGAGAGACTAAATTCTTGCTACAGTGTATTCCTCCCTCAGCCTATTTATTATTTTGTTTTTAAATTGAATGCCTATTAACTGGATAACTCAAAGCTTGTAGCTGAGTATAAACATCTCTCCTGGGTGATTTTAGAAACTAAATCAAAGTCCAACATTTACATTTATTTTTGCCTATCAGTTAGCATGAATGAGGGCTGCAAATAGGACACAAGGAATGAAGGAACAAAAACACAAAAAGTAATGCCCTTGTCAGCTGCAGAAACTCTCTGTGTGCTAAATGCTAAGCACGATTGAGAAAGTCAGAAACTAGTTTACTACAAGTCTGAAAAACACCTTCTGAAAGTTAGAATATACACTAGAAACCTCATTGTTTCTGTTAACAGAACATCCATTTCAAAACTTTACTCAAGCTCTCAAGGGGGGAAAATTATCATAGGCCTTATCTACTATTCTAATTGTAATGGGAAATAAGTTCTTATCAATAACATCTGGAATAAATTGAGAGTAAAAAATACAACTGTGAAAAACAACCACTCAAGAGTATTCTCTAATGAAAACACAAAACATGAACATGATTTTAGAGGTCTTTCCAGCACTGGGCGCATTGCCTAACCCGTAGGCATTTGCTGAATGTGAATGAATCTCTGGCTTGGATCAGGACCGTAACACTAGAGAATTGAACAGGGATCGTAAGCCACAGCGAACTTTTGGTGGCATCAGTTGGGACAAAGAAGAGTCTTTTGCTTGCTCTGTTTTTTCTCCTACTCACTGTGGTCATGCATTTGGTCATAGATGGAATCTGATTCACAGACATGTTGCTTTTTCTTCTAGTGCTAAATAAAAGTTTTGAATCTAAATACAGTAATTTTAAACATAGGGCAAGTGTCTTCTGAATTAGACACTGTTGTCACTAATACTGCCATTTAGTTACTCTACTTGATTCTAATAGGCATAAGGATTTGTGGTCCCTTAAATTCTTAATTTGCCAGTGAAAAAACCCAGAGGGACAGAGAGATGTTACATGACTTAATGGACACACACAATTAGCAGCAGTCAAAACCTGAACCCAGGACTCTGGAATTCAAGATCTAGGCTTTTTCCTCTACCAGCTGTCATGAAATAACTGCATCTCAGGAGGAAGCTACACTGTTAGCAGTCTCTCAAAGCAAGTGATATTCCAGGCTTGTTTCTAACAGGAAAAATTATCTCAAATTTCCAAGAATAGAATTATGTTGTTTTTATTTTAATGCTTTACAAAATACATGTAGACTAGGGAAGCAGGCTACACATTATGCTCCTTATAAGACAGTTAAGAAAATTTTGCAACTTAAAGATTTAAAAGTCTGAAACTAATAAAATTTAAATTAACAATATAAGTTCATAAGGAAGATTGTGTTTCTGTATCAACTATAATTTCAATATCAAGCACACTCATAGAAACAGTTAATCTCGGGTTTTGTTCTATATTTATTGATTTTTATTTTTATTATCACATTATTGTTGACTGGGGGTACATTGTGACATTTACAAAAGTGCTTACAATATATCTTAATTCAATTCACCCCCTCCATCATTCTCCTTTATCTCTCCTTCCTCCCAATGCTTAGAATAGTTTCAAAAGGTCTCATTTTTAGATTTTCATATATGGCTACGTAATATTTCCACCATATGCATCCTCATTGTTTTATGTTTAGGCTTCAGAAATTTGGCTTTAATAATTCTAATGTAAAGAACACTGTTTAGGCAAACATATTGGACAAGAGAGTATTTGATGACTTGGAGAGTCTAGTTGAGGTTATTCAAACTCTAAAAATTCTTCTCAGGAATAAGATGCCATTTTAAATGTACCAGGGAAAACTAAGCAAAATTGTCTTGTTAACTTGAGGATAAGTGTTGTTTTACAGCTTCATTGATGGGTATCAAATGAAATTGTTGCTGGAATTGGGTAGCGAAAATCATTTTCCACCCCTCTGCAGCTTTTGTACGAATTTGAATAAAGATGGAACGCCATGACCTAGTCTATTGCAGTGTGAATACAGTACTGACTGTTGTGGGGCAGAGTCTCCTGTATTTGGCTCACCTGCATTGCTGTGCCCTGCACAAAGGGAGGATAAACCATCGTTTAAATACATTAGTACTAAACAGTTATCCAGATGGCTCAGTACAGGCATACATTAATGGTTTTACACTGTCATTAAAAATGACAACATAAAGTTAAAAAAGCACTGACATAAATTCATGAACATTCACAGAGAAAGGAGTTCAGAGTAGGATTCCCTTGGTTCTAACCCTCCACTCTTCATTAATTAGTTATATGACCTTTTTCCAAGACAACTTATCCTCTTGAATTTTGCTTTCCTCATCTGCAATTATGAGCTGATTGAACTTGATGAACTTTAAAATTTCAAAAATCCCAAATCCCACAATTTGTTATAAATCTTATGTTTATACTTGCTACACTTTCCTTTCTTTGCAATTCCACAAACCAAAAAATCTAAAAGAACAAGTTTGTTTTACAGGCAATGAATACTATCCTCAGGTATATTACCAATAAATCTGAATATTTGCTGGTATAAGAAGGAATCTAGTCTAATCTGATTTCAAACTGCATTACAAGGCACACTAGAACATGCCTCCAACCTCACCATGGAAGGAATATGACAATATGGGCTGTAGACTTTCCTTTTTCATTCAAAGAGCAACTCCTTACATCTGGTTTATATCAGGGAGTCTCCGTGTATGTTTTGAAAACTTATCTGACACATCTTGTGCACTTCTCTAGATTCTCCTGAAACCCTGATCTCCTGGGCTAGCAGCTGCTTGCTTCGCCTCAGCTGCTACTTTGGCTGCACCTTTCCAAAGGCAGACCACCGTAAGTGGTAAGGACCACTTGACTGTGCTTGGGTTCTCATAGGTTTTTTTGTTTGTTTGTTGTGTTTTTTTAACCTGTAAGTGGCCGATATTTCACTTGCTTAAATGGGATGGAGCCTCCCCTTGGCTGCCACTATGTATCTAGGTCTAGTAGCTACATAACTGGACTTTCTGGGTTTTAAGACTACTTCTGCACTTGAATACAAAGCCACACTAGGGAACAGGATCTGGGTCTCACATCGCCTACCAATGAAGTTCCCTGAATTAATGAAGTTGTCTCCTTGGGGGTGAACTCAGGTCAATGGAATAGGAAAGGGAAGATAACTTCCCACATCTTCATTCCTCTCATAGACTGTTCCCAAACATAATTCTATATTGCTTGACTGCATGTGGCCAAAACATTCTATATTGCTTCAGCTAATGTCTCTGAAACACAGACAACAGTGACCAGCCCAGTAACAGATTACCTTGATAATCTAATACTTATTTGGTTTTCTTTACTTCTCACTTCACTATCCCCAATAAAGGAACCCAATCATTGCCTCAAGTTCTGTTTCTAGAGAAACCTGTGGAGGTTACAAATCTGATCATATCCCTCCCATGATTTCCCATCATCTATAAAATATCCTTAGCAAGTCAATAGTGCCCTCCACAAGCTACCATTAGCTTGTGTGTTACTTGTTGATGCATCTGAATTACTTGTCATTCCAGATGGCTTATAAATCTCCTACCATTCATGTGAGAGCTCACCTGATTTTTTTTTATGTTTGATGAGGCATCCCCTCTGCCTGAGACGATGCATCTATGTTTTCTCGGATAATGTTTACTAATTTTCATTGAAAAAACATGTAGCACACCACCTAGGATGTAGTTGGTTCTTTGTAAGAATTAAAATACTTATGCAAAAATGGAGATTTGGAGAGACCAAAAATGTAGCCACTGCAACAGCGCTCAACAATGACAGAGCCAAGGCTAGTATATAATATTCTCATTCTGCCTCTTCTATACGGTCTCCTAGAAAGTGGTCTGATTTCTTCCAAATCCTCATGTCACTCATGCTTTCATTGATTTACTCACTATTTATTAGGTACCCATGTGTCGGGTCCTCTTAGATTTTAGGATTTTGCCCCTTTTGAACCTTCTCGTTTTTCAGATCTTTTTCTAGAACTACAGATTCTGTGTTGCTTTGAACAAACTTATTTGGCTTTAGAGTACATGGCCAGGGGTTCAGAACACTGAATTTTTAATGAAGCTCAATTATTCATTTGTATTGTGATATTAAACAAATCACTTAAACTCTTTGTGCTTCAGCTTTCTTCATTT